CCAAGGTCATAGATAAGAAGATTTCAACACAATGTTATGTCAGAGTTACTGTTATCAGCAATCATGTGCACATTACTGGAACACTACAAAGTCCATGCCACTTTGGATAAAGACAACTTTGATACAGACAGCATGCCAATATAAACCAATAATTGGTTTGATGTCATGGAAATGCATTATATTTAGGACCAGTAGAGTCATAATTTCCAGGTTACAAAGTGGCCATCTCATCATTAATTATTCTATCTATAGGTATTTGAGAAATATCAAATTGAGAAACTTGTGCAAGTATGAAAACTGTTAAATTACAAGGCTATCCCCCTAGAGAAGATTCCTGACAGATTACCTGACCCCAGAGTTTACCAATCTTCTTTCATAAATAGCTTGATGTAGTGTAATAAAGACCAGACCATGATCACTGTATTTTCGGTGATACTGATCAGGTGAGTTTGAAAGAAATAAAGTGCCCTAGGACACAGGCCCTCTGGGCATGACCCATGTCTCCTTCTCCCACCCATTATTGCCCCAGGTGCAGGCCAGCAGAGAAGACTCCTGCAGGCAGGCATCCTCACCAATACCTGCATTAGACAGGACCCTGCAATCTACAAGACCCACTTCCTGTCCCAAACCCACCCATGCCCCTGTGACCTCAGGGGCTCCCCAAGACACAGAATCCACCAGCTCTGATTTTACCAAGAGCTCTGATTAGACCAAGAGGACCAAGAGCTCTGATAGGACCAAGAGTGGCTCCATGAGACACAGAATCTGCCAAACCTTATTAAACCAAGAGCCCTGATTGGACCAAGAGTGGCCCTCTGAGACACATACACAGCACACAGTGGACCAAGAGCAGCTCCCTCAGAAACAGACACTTCTTGCACCTATTGGAGGAAGAGATGGGTAGACACTAGTGCAAAAATACATACAACAACGTAAATAGCAAGTTGGCACCACTAGAACCTAGTGGTTATATATATACATACATAATAGCAAGACCTGAACATCACAACGTGGAAGAAACAGAAGAAAGAGATCTTAAAAATAACTTTATGAAGATGATAGAGGCCTTTAAAGATGAAATGAAAAGTTCCCTTAAAGAAAGGAAAAGACAAACAAAACGATTGGAAGAAATCAATAAATCCCTTAAAGAAAGCCAAGAAAACAGTTCAAGACCTGAAAATTGAAATAGAAACAATAAAGAATACACAAAGTGAGAGAATGCTGGAAATAGAAAATCTTAGTAAATGAACTACAGATGCAAGTATAACCAGCAGAATACAAGAGATGGAAGAAAGAATATCTGGCATGGAGGATACAATAGAGGAAATAGATTTGTCAGTCTAAGAAAACACTAAAGCCAAAAAGGTCATAACACAAAACATCCAGGGAATCTAGGACACCATGAAAAGGCCAAACCTAAGAATAATAGGGATAGAAGAAGGAGAATAACACCAACTCAAAGCACAGAAAATATATTCAACAAAATCATAGAAGAAAACTTCCCTAACTTAAATAAGGAAATACCTATGAAGATACAAGTAGTTTATAGAACACCAAATAGACTAGACCCTCCAAAAAGTTCCCTTGCCACATAATAATCAAACCACTAAACATACAGAATAAAGAAAGAATATTAAGAGCAGCAAAGGAAAAAGGCCAAGTGAGTTACAAAGGCAGACCCATCAGAATAGTACCTGACTTCTCAATGGAGATTCTGAAAGTCAGAAGGTCCTGGAGAGACGTAAAGTAGACATTAAGAGACCACGGATGCCAGCCCAGACTACTATACCCAGCAAAACTTTCAATCACTGTAGACAGAGTGCACAAGACAAAACCAGATTAAAAAAAAAAAACTACCCACAAATCCAGCCCTACAAAAAGTACTAGAAGGAAAATTCCAACCTAAGGTATTTAGATGCACTCACGAAAACACAGGCAATAGATAACCTTGTAGCAGCAAATCCCAAAGAATGGAAATACACACACACTACCCACAAAAGATAACAGAAATTAACAATCACTGGTCATTAATATCCCTTAATATCAATGGACTCAATTTGCCTATAAAAGACAAAGACTAACAGAATGGATAAAAAAACAAACAAACAGGATCCATCCTTCTCCTGCATACAAGGAACATACCTCAACTTCAGAGACAGACACTACCTCAGAGTAAAAGGCTGGGAAAAGACTTTCCAATCAAATGGACTTAAGAAGCAAGCTGGTGTAGGTATCTTAATATCTAAAAATATAGACTTCAGACTAAAATTGATCAAAGGAGATCGGGAAGGACATTACATATTCATTACAGGAAAAATCTTCCAAGATAAAGTCTTAGTTATGAACATTTTTGTCCCAAATACAAGGTCACCCACATATGTAAAAGAAACATTACTAAAGCTTAAATCACACATCAAACCTCACACACTAATAGTGGGAGACTTCAACACCTCACTCTCAGAAATGGACAGATCTGTCAGACAGAAACTTAACAGAGAAATAAGGGATCTAACATGTTATGACTCAAATGGACTTAATAGATATCTACAGAACATTCCACCCTAGCACAAAAGAATGTACCTTCTTCTCAGCACCCCATGGAACCTTCTCTAAAATCGACCACATACACAGTCACAAAGCAAATCTCATCAGATACAAAAAATTAGAACAACCTCCTGTATTTTATCAGACTACCATGGCTTAATGTTATATTTCAACAACAACAAAAATTACAGAAATCCTATAACTGCATGGAAACTGAATAATGCTCAACTGAATCACCAATGGGTCAAGGAAGAAATAAAGAGGTTAAAGATTTCCTAGAATCAATGAAAATGAATGTACTACATACCCAAACTTATGGCACACTATAAAAGCAGTGCTAAGAAGAAAATTCATAGCACTAAGTGCCCACATAGAGAAGTTGGAGAAATATCACACTAGCAATTTAACACCACACCTTAAAGCTCTAGAACAAAAAGAAGCAAACACACCCAAGAGAAATAGACGCCAGGAAATAATCAACTTGAGAGCTGAAATCAATAAAACATAAACAAAGAGAACAATACAAAGAATCAATGAAACAAAGAGTTGATTCTTTGAGAAAATCAACAAGATAGACAAGCCCTTATCCAAACTAACCAAAAGACAAAGAGAGAACATCCAAATTAACAAAATCAGAAATGAAAAGGGAGACATAACAACAGACACTGAGGAAATCTAGAGAATCAACAGGTCATACTTCAAAAACCTGTACTCCACAAAACTGGAAAATCTAAAAGAAGTAGACAATTTTCTGGATAGGTACCACATATCAAACTTAAATCAAGACCAGATAAACAATTTAAATAGACTTATAACCCCCAAGGAAATAGAAACTGTCATTAAAATTCTCCCAACTAAAAAAAGCCCAGGACCAGATGGTTTCAGCACAGAATTCTACCAGAATTTCAAAGAGCTAGTACCAATACTCTTCAAACTGTTTTATACAATTGAAACAGAAGGAATTCCGTTAAACTCTTTTTATGAGGCTACAGTTACCCTGATACCCAAAGCACACAAAGATGCAACAAAGAAAGATAATTACAGACCAATCTCCCTCATGAACATTGATGCAAAAATACTCAATAAAATACTGGCAAACTAAATCCAAGAACACATAAAAAAAAGTTGTCCACCATGATCAAGTAAGCTTCATCCCAGAGATACATGGATGGCTCAACATACGAAAATCTGTCAATGTAATACACCATATAAACAAACTAAAAGAAAAAAAAAACACATGATCATCTCATTTGATGTTGAAAAAGCCTTTGACAAATTCCAGCACCGCTTCATGATAAAGGTCTTGGAGACAACAGGAATACAAGAAACATACCTAAACATAATAAAGGCAATTTACAGCAAGTCGACAGCCAACATCAAACTAAATGGAGAGAAACTCAAAGTGATTCCACTAAAATCAGGAACAAGACAAGGCTGTCCACTCTTCCCATATCTATTCAACATAGTACTCTAAATTGTAGCTATAGCAATAATACAACAAAAGGAGATCAAGGGGATAAAAAGTAGAAAGGAAGAAGTCAGACTTTCACTATTTGCAGACAATATGATAGTATACATAAGTGACACCAAAAATTCTACCAGAGAACTCCTACATCTGATAAACACCTTCAGTAATGTGGCAGGATACAAGATTAAATTAAAAACAAACAAACAAACCAGTATCTCTCCTCCCTACAAATGATAAACTGGCTGAGAAAGAAATCAGAGAAACATTACCCTTGACAATAGCCACAAATAATATAAAATACCTTGGGGTAATTCTAACTAAGCAAATGAAAGACCTGTATGACAAGAACTTTAAGTCTTTGAAGAAAGAATTTGAAGAAGATATCAGAAAATGGAAAGATCTCCCATGCTCATGATAGGTAAAATCAACATAATAAAAATGCAATCTTACCAAAAGCAATCTACAGATTCAATACAATCCCTATCAAAATCTCAACACAATTCTTCACAGACCTGGAAAGAATAATACTCAACTTCATATGGAAAAACAAAAAGCATGGGATAGCAAAAATAATTTTGTACAATAAAGCCACCTCTGGAGGCATCACCATCCCTGACTTCAAGCTCTACTATAGAGCTATAGTAATAAAAACAACTTGGTATTGGCATAAAAACCAACATGTGGACCAATGGAATCAAGTTGAAGACCCTGACATTAATCCACACACCTATGAACAACTGTTTTTTGACAAAAAAGCCAAGACTGTACCTTGGAAAAAAGAAAATATCTTCAACAAATGGTGTTGGCAAAACTGGATATCAACATGTAGAAGATTGTAAATAGATTCATATCTATTACTATATAAAAACTCCAGTCCAAGTGAATCAAAGACCTCAACATAAATCCAGTTACACTGAACCTGATAGAAGAGAAAATAGGAAGTAGCTTTGAATGCATTTGTACAGGAGACCACTTCTTTTTTTTTTTTTCCAGGCTCATTGCATTTATATCATGAGATTGGTTGTCTGGCAAGGGACGTGGTGCCCAGTGTAGGACAGTGGCCCCTGGGCTTGGAACTATGCCTTAGGACTGATTGTTCAGAAAGGGAGACTGAGACCAGGCAGGTATGACTTGGGTTAGGGGGCCAGGGTGAAGCTGGAGGTCAGTTCCAGCAGGGCAGGCACAGAGACCCGGATCCTCTCAGATTTCAGGAAAGCCACGTGCTTCTCGTAGTAAGCAGCCTCATTAATGAACACAGGGTACCCAGTGGAGTTCCCCTCATACAGTACGTCCTCACCACTGAACAGCTTGAAGATGGGTTCACCAGACCTCAGTGGCTCAAAGTCGTGGTCCTGCAGCTGAGGGTGCACAGTACCATCCAAGTCACTGTCCGCAGTGCGTGGGAAGTCCACCTTGCCCAGGTTCCTGTAGATGTCTATCTCAAAGGCGGGAAAGGCCATGCCTTGGTTGTAGAGCTCGATGAAGTCCAGAATGGACGCCATCAGAGCTCTCATCCGTGAGAACAGGTCGGCCCGCAGCTCGCCTGAGGCTGGGGGGCCCATCTCCAGACAGATTCCATCCTTGGACACAGATTCCAAGCTGTAGGTCTCCATCCCTGGTAGATCGTACTGCAAGAGGCGGCAGGGCAGCCCCGGGTTCTGCAGCTGTAGGTAGTGGCACAGGTGCAAGTTGAGGGCGTTGTGGGAGGCTTCAGAGATGAGGCAGACTCCAGTGTTGGCTTTGGTGTTGTGCAGGTCTGGATAAAGTCAAAGGCCCGGTCTGTGCCCTTGGGACCCAGTAGCTCGTTCAACTCTCGGGCTCTTGTCACCTCATATGGGTCATCGGGAGTGGCTGTGGAATTGAGAAAGGGAAGGGTGAAAGTGCGGCTGAGATCATGGTCCATGTAACGGCGACAGGCAGCTGTGGCTGCTGGGTTGGCCAGAACTGGCATGGCAGAGAAGCTGGGTCTCTGCAGCTCCCCTGGGGCCTGCAGCCAATGCCGGACCAGGTGGACGCCACACATCTCATTTCCGTGGGTGCCCCTAGTCACAGCCACTTGGCGCAGGGGCTCCTGGGGCACAGGAAGGGAGCACATCCATCCCAGTGTGGGTCAGGAGTCCACAAGAGACAGAGCTAGACCGTAGGGTGAGCTCCCCAGGCCCTGAGGAGTCTGAGACAGGGGGCTGCAGGTGAAGAGGTAGCTAAGTGGTAGTGTCAGCTGTGTCCCACCTGTACCCAGAAGCCAAGTTCAAGGACACCGTCAGCCAAATTTTTGTTCCACTTGGAACCTCAGTCCTGCCTCAGGAACTTTCTTTGAGGGTGGGTGTTGATCGCCCCGATTTTCTCTTGGAGGAGGCTTTCCTTGATGCTTTTAGAAGAAGTTTCTTCCACCCTTGGAAAATTAATCACAGAGATTCCTGACTTGGACTGATGACTCCCAGTCCTCAGAAAGGATTGGGCTTTGCCGCCTGGCAAGGAAGCCCAGGGCCTGGTCCCAAGGCCTGCCTGCTGTCCTGTCCTGCCTGGATCCACCCCGAGAGGTGCTTTCCATGAGGCTTTGTTCTCAGCAGAGCACCGGTCCTTTGGCAGAGAGCTGGAGGCGGTGGAGTGTGGTCCTGAGCACCCTTTCTGGAGTCTGGGTCAGCTGAGAGAGGCAGAGACCTCCATAAGGCTCACTCAGAGGGTCACTGAACCTTTTGTCAACAGTTCCCAGCAGCTGTTCACCAAGCCCTTACCCCATAGGTGGCGGGGGTGTTGGAGGAAATCAGAGAGGATCAGTCTGCCTGCCTGCCCATCTCCTTCCCAGTCCCCACTGTGCTTGGAGACCACTTCTTAAATATAACACCAGTAGCCCAGACACTGAAAGCAACAATCAATAAATGGGACCTCCTGAAACTGAGAAGCTTCTGTAAGGTAAAGGACATGGTAAATAAGACAAAATGACAGCTTACAGAATGAGAAAATGTTGCCGGAAGTTTCTTGGGTCCCTCCAAGCCCCCGCAGTCCCATGGTCTGCTTATAGAATAATCATTCAGAAGCTTATATTAATTATAACTGCCTGGACATTAGCTCAGGCTTATTACTATCTAGCTCTTACACTTAAATTAACCCATAATTCTTATCTGTGTTTAGCCTTATGGCTTGATACCTTTTCTCAGTTCTGCCTTGTCATCTTGCTTTCTCTGTGTCTGGCTGGCGACCCCTGATTTAGCCCGTCCTCTTCCCAGAATTCTCCTCATCTGCTTACCCCACCTATACTTCCAACCTGGCTACTGGCCAATCAGCACTTTATTTATCAACCATTCAGAGCAACATATATTTACAGCATACAGAAACATATCCCCCAGCACCTTCCTTTTGTGTCTAATCAAAAAGGACATTTTTAACTTTAATGCAGTAAAATTACATATAATAGAACAGTTATCAAGCAAGAATTACAGTTACAATATCCAATATATCTGTATTTGGCAAAATTAAAGAAAATATTCTATCATCTATCCTATATTTGTGAGTCTAAAGTTTCATATCTAATTCATCTTTTATCATGACTAAGAAAAATTATAACTATCTAGTCTTCTACTATATCAAAGAACCCAGAGGGGTATAATATTACCTAAGTAAACAGGAAGAACATTGTAAGCAACTTCCAAAAATCTAGAATGACAGAGACAGCTGGCTGCCTGGACAGTCACCCAAAATGTAATCAGAAGGTTTCTCAGGGCTGCTTATAAAATAATTACTCAGAGGCTTAATATTAATTAGCACTTTCATGGCCTATGGCAGGCCTCTTGCCAGCTAGCTCTTTTAACTTAAATTAACCCATTTCTATTCATCTATGTTGCCACATGTTTTATGGCATGTTGTTTCTTCAGCTGCGGCTGGTGTCTCCCTTGCCTTCTTCTTATCTCTCTTTCTGTCTATCCCTTGGATTTCTGCCTGCCTCTAAGCTGCCTTGCCACAGGCCAGTGCATCTTTATTTATCAACAAATCAGAGCAACACATATTCACAACATACAGAAAGACATCCCCCAGCAGGAAAAGATTTTCACCAACCCTACATCTGACAGAAGGCAGATCTCCAAAATACATAAAGAACTCAAGAAACTAGACATCAAAATAACAAACAGTCCAATCAAAAAATGGGCTACAGAGCTAAACAGAGAATTCTCAATTGAAGAATCTCAAATGGTTGAAAGACATTTCAGAAATTGCTCAACATCCTTAGTCATCAGGGAAATGCAGGTCAAAATGACTCTGAGACACCATCTTACACCTGTCAGAATGGCTAAGATCCAAAACACTCATAACAGCTTATGTTGGAGAGGAGGTGGAGCAAGAGGAACACTCCTCCACTGTTGGTGGGAGTGCAAACTTATAAAAACACTTTGGAAAAAAGTATGGTGGTTTCTCAGAAATTTGGGAATCACTCTACCTCAAGAATCTTGCACATATACCCAAGGAATGCTCAATCATACCACAAGGACACTTGCTCAACTATGTTCACAGCAGCATTATTCATAATAGCCAGAACCTAGAAACAACCTAGATGCCCCTCAACCAATAAAGAAAATGTGGTACATATACACAATGGAGTACTACTTAGCAGTAAAAACAATGACATCATGAAATGTGCAGGTAAATGGATGGACTAGAAAATATCATCCTGAGTGAGGTAACTCAGAGTCAGAAGGACAAACATGGTATGTACTCACTCATAAGTGGATACTAGATGTAAACCAGATGGCAATGCACAACTCCAGGGAAGCTAGTTAGCAGGGAGGACCTTAGGAAGGATGCATGGATCGCACAGCAAAGGAGAAATAGATGAGATTTACATGTGCAAACTGGGGGTGGGGGGTAACTGAGGGCAAGGGATGGGGGGGTGAGAACATAGGGGAACAGGAGGTTCGAGCTGGAATAGGGACAGAATGAGAGAACAAGGAAAGACATACCATGATAAATGAAGACATCTTAAGAATAGGGAGAAACAGAGTGCTAGGAAGTTCCCAGGAATCCACAAGGATGACCCATCTTAGACTACTGGCAATAATTGAGAGGGTGCCTGAACTGGCCTACTCTGGTGATCAGATGGCTGAATAACCTAACTGTCATCATAGAGCTCTCATCCAGTGACTGATGGAAGTAGATGCAGAAATCCATGGCTGGGTGCCAGGCTGAGCTCCAGGAGTCCAAATGATGAGAGAGAGGAGGGAGTCTATGAGCAAGGGACATCGAGGTCATGATGGGAAAAACTATAGAGATGATCAACGAAACTAGTGGAAATGCATGAACTTTGGATCAACAGCTGGAGCCCGCATGGGACTGGACAGGGCCCTCTGCTTGGGAGAGTCAGTTGTGTAGCTTGTTCTTTCTATTTGAGGGGCCCCTGACAGTGGGAATAGGATCTATCTCTGGTACATGAACTGTCTTTTTGGAGCCCATTGCCTATGGTGGCACACCTTGCACAGCCTTGATACAGGGGGAGGGGCTTGGACCTGCCTCAGCTGAATGTGCTGGACTTTGCTGACTCCCCATGGGAGGCCATACCTTTTCAGAAGAGGGGAATGGGGGGGGGTAGGCTGAGGGGGAAGGCTGGGGGAGTGGGAGGCTGGATGAAAGGGGGATCTGTGGTTGGTATGTGGCATGAATAAATGTTTTTTAAAAGAAAGAAAGAAAGCACATGTTGACTTTATTGTACCTTTGAGGGAGACTAATAAGAAACAGCTTGATTTTGTTAAAGGAAATCACCACCAGCCACTTAATAAACTTTAGGTCAAACATAAAAGTGGGAGTTTGAATCATGAAGAAAAATGGTGAAAAATACAGGGTTTCTTCAGTGCCAATTCTTTGGTGTTCTAATGATTTCTGGCATCTTGAAAAGTCATGACCTATAGCAGTATCTTATGGATCAATAGCAGTGCATGAGAAGATGGGACCCTAATCTCTCTTACTCTTCTATATTACATCCAGAAGCTTGCCCTGGGTCGATATAGCCAATCAGATCAGTACATAAAATATATACTGATATTTCAGGCATCTGCTCAAATTTGGTCTAAGAAGAGTTGTGAGAATTCATTGTAATATAGTCATTGGACATTCAATTGCTGATATTAACAACTCATGACACACTGGCACATTTTTTCTTATTGTCTATGTATGTTCAGTATTTAGTGTCCCATCATGGCTTGTTTTTAAGAGAGTAATGTAATGATTGTAGTATAATAACTAAAACTTTAAGCTGATGTTTCCCAGTATTGCAGGGAGCTGTTTTCCCCAGCTGGCCTTCACCATCATGATGCAGAATTGCCTTACACAATACCTCGGTTCCCAGTCATGGGAACTAAATATTTGCAATAGTACAGTGATAAACATGTCGATGGAAATGAAAAGGATAGAGTGTTAATATTCTTCCAGAGCCAATAGGAATGGTTTACACCTGTAATTTCAGCATTAATAAGGCAGGGGGAACAAGAATATTGTCCACAGAATCAACTAAGTGGGCTCATAGTGGCTCACAGAGACTGTAGTGACAATCAGGGAGCCTGTATGTGTCTGAGCTAGGTCCTCTGCATATATGCTATAGTTGTATAGCTTGGTTTTCTTGGGGACTCCTAACAGTGGGAGTGGGGCCTGTCTCTGACTCTTTTGCCTTCTTTTGGGGACCTTTCCTCCTATGGGTTGCCTTGTCCAGCTTTGACCAGAGGGTATATGCCCAGTCTTATAGTAACCTGTTCTGCTGTGTTTGGTTTGTATTCCTGGGAGGCCTGCTGTTTTCTGAAGAGAAATAGAAGAGTATATCTAGTGGAGAGGGCAAAACTATGATCAGGATGTAATATTTACGAGAAGAATAAACAGAAAAAAATAAGGCAGGAGGATTTCCACAGGTTTTAGGCCAACCTGGGTCACATAGTTCCGTCCCAGCCTGAGCTACAGAATGAGACTATGCCATAAACAAGTAAATAAACAAACAACCAGTTGAAATTTGCAAGGAAACTTCATCTTGAAACAGGGCAGACCCTTATCTGAAATTATAGTCTCTTTTCCCCAGTTTCTTAGAACATTACTTGTAGTTGGTTTTTTGGTCTAGAGCATATAGAATGTGCATGGCTGTCTAGGGACTGGAACTCCCCAGGAAGGCAGTTGCTTGTTCCTCCAATATGCTGGAGAAGGGGAATCATTGTTGATGCTGCTGCTGAAAAGTCACTCACACTTGGTATAAATTTTTTTTATAGAAAATTATACCATTTTCTAATAAAGACATTGGTTCAGAAAGATGGACTTGGAATAATTTCTTCGGTCTGTTACTAGCTCCTTTTCTATCTGGTATGTTTATGTTGGGGAATATTATTTTAAGGTGGTTACTTTTGTTTATGTTGCATTTGTTTAATTCTGTGAAGCTGTGTTACTGTGCCAAGGCAGGGATGGCAGGCAGAGAGAATTAATCAAAGGAGAAATCTGAGAGAGAGAGAGGGAGAAGAAAGAAGTAGCCAGAGAAGGAGGAGGACATCAG